GGAAAACTCATAATAAAGTCATACTTGTCGATCTCCAATGTAAGGACTTGTACCAGCTGGCGCTGCTCATTGCCCCCTGGAACGTCCCTCAGCTATAATCCCACCAAATTGCCTTCGGCAGTTCTTACCTGCAGGCATTTTTGCCAGTGGTGTTCACTTAACAGATCTCTACCCATTTCTGTACATCTTTCGATAAGTATTTAATAAATGTTAATCTGAACTCAGTGCTTACGTTTTCTAGAAACTTCTTCTATAATAACAATAATTACCTAGTGGAAGAGAGAAACATTAAACAAGTAGTCACGCGTACTATAAATTTACAATTACTGACGGTGATGAGTACACAGTGGGAGGAGTCAAACTTCCCACTGGGAGGAGTCAAACTCAAGGATCTAGCCAATATCCTGAGGATGGCACAGGGAAAGATACAAAGAACCACTCTCTCTGACAACACTGCTGAGCCGCTGAATTTAACCCTAGAACTGCTCTGCCTCTGAAGTGCTCATTATGTGAAACAATGACTGTTCCTCATTTTTAAAGTCACTTACAGTTGAATTTTCTGTTACTTTCTGCGAATAGTAGCCTAACTTATACAATCAGCTTTCTGATCACATTTGCTTTACTTTCAGTTTTATTCAAAAATCTTTACTAATTTTGAATTAACTTTATAATGGGCTAAAATATAAATTAATATGGTATTTTCTAAAAATTCTACTTTTACTTAATTGGGAAACTTTCACCAGAAATTTCAGCATAAGCATAAAATGATGTGGGGATTTTTATTTCGCCCCTTTTAGAAACACAAAGCACTCTTGGGGAGTTTAGATTTCTTCTTTTTTTTTTTCTTCCTCTTCTTCTCCCCAAAACGCCCCCAGTACATAGTTGTATATTCTAGCTGAGTGCCTCTGGTAGTGCTATGTGGGACAATGCCCCAGCATGACCTGATGAGCAGTGCCATGTTCACGCCCAGGATCCGAACTGGTGAAACCCGGGGCCACCAAAGTGGAGCACGCGAACTTAACCACTCGGCCATGGGGCCGGGCCCTTGGTTCCGATTTCTATGGCAGGAATCTGCATGTGGCTAACAATTCTATTTCTAAGTAGGAAGTGTGGCTACTTTGACAGATCATGGCTTGACAACAAACAAGCAAGTCTAAGTTATCACACAGTGTGGATGTGAATCCAACAGCAGGATAATGACAGTTGCCAAGGATTTGTACCTGCTGTCGCTTCATACCAGTGTTGCCTGTCAAAATGTCTCTTTTTCTTACACAGAAGCCATAGAATTTTTAAGGCTAGCAATTACTTACAATATACAATGAAGTACATCAAATCTAACAACCACTCTTTAGCCCCTCATTATTTGGTAGTCTCTTTGTTAAATGTAGTCAACCATTTTCATCTAAATTATTTATTTATACTGTATATTTGACAAGCATATATTCCTCGCTTTATATTCTTATGGCATTTAAACCTTCCTGAAGAGTTATGGCTTTTTTTTAAAATATTGTCATTTGTAAAACTTATCTTTATCCCATTACCATTTTAATGGTAATTAAACTCTCTAATTGGAATAAATACAAATAAGAAAATGTAAATGTAAAGGAAAATGACCCTAAGTACATTCAATAATAAATCACCAGCTTAAAATACTGGAATGCAACCAACGAAAGAAATAACCCCACATATGTTTGGTGAATGTAAATTTGCATAAAACCTCTGGAGTGCACAAAGCACAAAGATTTCATTAAACTTCATCCTACCCTTTTCCTCAACTTGATGAAACGAATAACTTCTAAAGATATAAATAACTTTCTACAATTGCTAGGTAAAATGTGATTTAAACATCATAAAAAGTGAAGAATAAAAGTGATAATAATAAAAGTGAACAATCTCTCCCAAATTTTATTTCCCATACCAAAAGAAAATATAATTCTAGTTTGGCGTAGAAATATTGGTAAGAGCATCCCAACTGTAGAGCAATTTCAGGTTATTTTATAACATATAATATGTCAAATTTATTTGCAACTCAATGACTGAATACTAACCAATTTATTATGTTCAAACTGCATACATACCCTACAGGAGATAGACACTGTTTGTTAAACTGAACTTATTTGCTTTTGTAGAAGGAAATTCTAAACAAGAAGAGCAATTTCTAAAATTTGTGAAGGACCCATCTTCAGGGTATGGGATCAGGGGCATAAGTCATTCCACCCAAAGGAAAGAAAAGAATACTTCTGCTTGTGCAAAAGTACAAAGGAATAAAAATAAGATACATCTTAAATTTAAAACTGGGAGAGGTTATACACATGACATACAACTTTTCCAGAGGAAATTTACATTTTCAAAAATAAACAATATTGTCTTTTACCATTTTAAAGGAAATAATATGTTAATGTTTAGATCTGTAGAGATTTTTTTAAAAGCTTGAAGGAAAAGTCTGAAAAAAGTAATGAACTAGGGAAAGCGTGATTTGTTTTGGGCATTGGAGGCAGAAACCAGAGGCGGTGGTGCGCTGCTTCATCAGCACCGCCACCTTTCCCTCACTCCCTTCTGCCCCGTTCCACGGCGGGACAGACAGCCCATCCTGGGAACGACAGTTACCAAACTTAAACTGTCCCTAGAAAAGGCAATACAACCAAATGTTTACATTTCAAGAAGAGTACAAGACTCATTCCAGTTACAAATATCCAAGATAACTAGAATGACGTAAAAAAGTAAGTGAACAGATTAGGTGCTGTTAGTCTCCTTGAAAGCAAGACTTGTCTGTGAAAAAGCAACCCATACAATCAATAACAAAAAACTGCTGGTAATTCTCTTCTGAAACTGACTTAAGTCCTCATTTAATGTGCTAAAAATAATCTTCCCCCAGAGGAACTTAAAGAGTTGGTAATATACTCAGCTGCAAGCAGGATAAAAAATACTGTAACTTTCTATTAAAAAAATCATGATATTACATCCTTAGATGATCAGTTAAAAATCATCAAAACAAAACATTTTATATGTGTGACAGAAAGAGATACTAATTGTTTACAACATTCTCTTAATGTTAAAAATGCAATTTTACTTTGGAAATCTTCCACTTGACATTTGGAGATGCCTTCTATAAATATGGCAGAACTGCCCTTAGATACCTGTTAACAGTAAATAATTGACTCTGCCATCCATGTCTGAAAGGCGGATGCCCTGTTCCAGGTCACCTGGGAATACATCAGACTACAGCTGGGTAGGAAAAGTTTCTCATGGTGCTGCTTTCCTGGAAGTAGCCACAGAAATGAGGCTAGACTTTTCCAGTCATCTGACCTCCAAATGGTAAGTCACACAATGGGAGAGTCAAACCTTCTTTGGCACAATCTGTTGATCTCATTTTCACTGTTGGTGATAGTTTTCTTACTATGGGAAGGATCCTGGCACAGCAGTTTTCACTCTGCTACAAACAAATGTTGCGTAGAGTGACAGAGGGAAAAACATGGGAAGAACACAAGAAAAGGCGGATGGATAATGTAAATATAGTAAGGGGGAAATTAATAGCATCAGATAATAACACGAGAATAAAGTGACTGATCACTGTTTGGTTGCAATGAATGGATTTAATGTATGTGGGCATATTTTGTAAAATGTACAATGTGTTAATTAGTAAAGAAAAGTATAAGTCATATAAGTAAAGGAACAACAAATTCACAATATTTTAACAATTATTTCTCATAAAAAGATCACAATGACGGTAGAAGAAAGGGGGCAAAGAAAACAAGAATGAGACAAGAGAAGTTTTAACCTCAATCAGCAGGAAAATGTCTTTCCTCATAGAGAAAATTGCCTCTCTCTGATAATCGCATTAATACCAACGGATCTTAGTTAACCATTAGCCTTTATGAACTTGACCCCTTTCAGGTTGAAACTCATCATTTTCTTTTTCATGAAAGTAAAAGACCTCTGGGCATTGTCTTTGACTTTCCATTCAATTGCCAAGAAGAGGGTTACTTCATTTTCTAGGTACATCATAATCAAAGTTGATGGTAACAGGCAACAGTGACAGAAAGGAAGTCAGGATTCAGACAAAGAAATAGAAGAAGCTCATTGAAACAAACTATAAAAAAACAGGCGGTAGGAAGGTGTCACATGAAAAGAAAGACTGACATATAAAAAAAGGACAAGTAAAGCCAGATAAAAAGACTCCGAATCAAAGAAATAAAATGAGAAAAGAGTAGAAAGAAATGGAATAAAAGAAATTACAGTTAGCTCTAACAGAAAAAAAATAAAGAATCTAAAAATGCACGGAAGACAGTTGGAATAAAAAGTGAATGTAGTTACCAGTTTGAAAAGGAAAATCGGCAAAAATAAATTCTAAAAGAAACAAAAAATGTGCAAATACACGTTATATTAGCATTGGCATTTGTATAAAGGAATAGTTAAAAACCCTGTTCAGAAATTTTTGTCCACTGTCATACTGGGAAGAACACAATCATGAGTAGCTTATGTCTCTACAATATACCTATCAAGTAATGATTTCCTAAAAAATTATCTAGCCATTTAGGTAGTTCATGAGGTAAATGATCTCAGACATTGCTAAGATGCACTTGTAGCTCAGAGAAATAAGGCAAAACAAAGATCAGCTGAAAGTCTAGCTTTTACTTTCATCTAAACTTAGTGACACACACACAAAACAATCAAACTGCTCTAAGATATAAATACGATCTCGCATTTCTATAAGGAGATTAAAATGACCCCTAAATTATGAATATTTTCTTCACTGTTCTTATAGTACACATTTTCTATTTAACATAAAGACTATGGCATCACATTTAGCCAGCCAATAGTTTATCGATACCTGATAGACACTGTTTTGTTCTTTCATTTTCTAATAGAGAAAAAACACAGGAAAAATACCTCTGTCCCCTCTGCTTTGTTTTTCAGAGAAGTACAGTGGATATAGCAGTTAAGAGTTCTGGTTGTATAGTTAGACCCATTTGGGTTCAAACCATACCTTCTCTACTTACCAGCTGTGTGATCTTGGTCAAGTTAATTAACCTCTACAAGTCTTTATTTCCTCATAGGTAAAGTAGAGATGTTTAAAATACTATCTGCCTTGCATTCCTCCCAGTGTTGTTTTGAGAACTAAGTAGATATAATGTAGCTTAAGTGCTTAGCATGGGGACTGGCACAGAGAAAATACTATCTGCCCTGCCGTTACTGCCATTATCCTTATGCTACTTGTCCAAGTCACACTCCAGGGATAATTTATGTTTACTGCATCATGCATCACTTTTCTTCCCATAGATAGAAAAAACTGAAGTGCTCTAATCCTGGCAACAACTTTCATAGCCCATCACATCTCCACGTTATCACTGACATCATCTCCACCAAATACTGAGCACTGACACACATAACTTTCTAGAAGCACTTTTATCTCCTTCAGAATTCAGTTTAAGCTGCTGAAATAATATTCTTACCTTGGTAAGTCACTCGAAATACACTTGTCAATTGGGATCACGGTGTCCCCACGGAAGGCACCTTCAGGACTGCTGGGCTGTCATCCCTCCACGGCTTCAGTCAAGGGTGATAAAGAAGACGGAGAAACTGCTGCTCTGTGATCTTCTGTTTCTGTGTTTGCCATTGTCAGCTAAGAATAAGGAACAATGTTATTCTATTTAAAATGCAGAATCCTCCTGAGTTACAAATTGAGGCTGGGCATTGCTCACGATTTACTTCTCGTCATGTTTCAGACCACGCAGCAGTCAGTAGACATGAAATCTCACTAGAAATGGACAGAGATAAGAGCCCAAAGGAAGACAGAACCATGAATCTAAGTCTTTGATTGGTATAATCCTATTTAAGAAAGAAAAAAATGATAATTTGTTGCAAAGTATTTTAATTTTTGCTGTTTACTAGAAAATGGCTTATATACAAGCAAACTTAACGTGAGGACTACGTTCTTAAAAAGTGCAGCAGTGCTTTTTGTTTTTGTTTTTGTTTTGTCTGCCTTTCATTCTTTCCTTTTTGGGAAGCTACCTTCCCCAATTCTGACGGTACTGTTGATTACGTGGCCTTGCTTTCCAGGCAGAAAAGTGAGTGTGTCCAAGGCTAGCCAATCCAAGTGCCCCCTTCCCCACGCACAGCGACTGGTAAATCAGAGTCCAGTGAAGAAGAGACAGTAGTGCTCCATTCTCTGGGATTGCCAGCCTTAAGAACAGGGTAAATCTCCACCACTGAGAATAAAGCCAAAACAGAGGAAAGCAAGGGCAGGAGATGGAGAGAGAAAAAGTGAGAGATTCCTGATGACAGCATTTGAATCCCTGAAACCAGCTATTAAAACAACCACATCTCCTGAGTATGTGAGCCAACGGATTCCCTTTTTTGCTTAAACCTGTTTGAGTTGGGATTCTCCCATCTGCAACCTGGAAATCTTGAGTAATGCACACAGAAAACCTAAATTTTCTTAACACCAAAATAACATGTCCACAAGAAACAATGTCAATGAGCGTTATAGGGTCCTTTCCAGGGTGTAATCACCCACTCAGGATGCTGATAAAAATGGCTATGAAGGCTCGTCTCTGATGTGTCCCACTACGGAGGAGTCCTACACCAAGGGGGAGTCCCAAGGTAACATGATATATCACTACTAAGGGAAAGATATTACTTATAGGGTAATAAAAAATACTACTTTCACCTTTTTACACTATTCTGAAATAGAAGCATTCATTCACCCACAGATTATCTACTGAGCACCTACTTGGCAATGTTCTAGGCACTTAGAATTCTTCAGTGAATAAAGCAGGAAAAAAGTGTGCTCTGGTGGAGCTTACAAACTAGTGGGGGGAGATGATAAACAATAAACATAATAAATAAGTAAATTGTAAGATGTTAGAAGGTGAAAAAAGCTATGGAGAAAAATTGATAAGGGAAGTTAGGTTAGAAGTATGGAGATGGAGGGAACTGCAATTTTCAATAGGTTTGTCAGCATAGGCCTCACTGAGGTGATAACATCTGGGCAAAGATCGGAAAGAGGCAAGGGAGTGAGCCATGCAGTATCCAGGGAGGAGCGAGAAGGCCCTAAGGTGGGGTGCACCTGGCAGGAGTGAGGAACAGCAAGAGTAGATGAACAGATGGACAAGAGGGGATGTAGCTGGGATGGGGTTAGAAAGGCAACGGGGGGGTGGAGATAACAGGGCCTTGCAGGACCCTGTTAGGACTTTGAGGGAATTAGAGAGCCCAGGGAGTGTTCGGAGCAGGAGAGTAATATGATTTTTTTTAAAAGATAATTTTGGCTGGTTTGTTAAAAATGCATCAAATTCATCAAAATCACTGCATTTCAATATTCTAATCTGTCCATATATTAATATCTTCTAATATTTACAGAAACTCTTTGTAGCAGAGACTGCCAGCTGTCTGCCAATACCCATCCCTTCCCTTTTCTACAATACTAGAATCTCTGATTTTTAACTGAGGCATAGGGCTGCCCAACACAAAGATTGTTTTCCAGTCTTCCTTGCAGCTAGGAAGGGCCATATGAATAAGTCTGTCCAATGAAATATTAACGGAAATGACCAAAGCAAGAGAGTTCACTCTTCGTTTTCCTCCTTTCTGCTACCTAGAACGAAGACGTGATGGCTGGCAGTGGCTTGGTCCTCTTTAACTTTGATATGATGGTAGGTATGAAAGCCATGCCCCAAGGAGGACAAAGAAGTTTAAATCTCTGACAACACGGAGTACCATACCAACCCTGGATTACCTACTTCCAGAATTTTACCCAAGAAATAAACTTCTGGCTTGTTCAAAACAATGTTCATTCGGGTCTTTGTTACTTGCAGTTGAACCTAATCCTGAAACTCCTGATACTCCTTGAACTAAGTTACTTTCAAGAACCTATAACATACGGTATTGGCTTAGAGCAGGGAAATGGGAAGAACAGTACGATGGCTTGGAAATCTAAATTTAATTGAGAGTCCCATAATTTGGGGTTTGGGGCCTTTTGGATTCAACAAGCCTTCACAATTGCATGAGCCATTTCCTTAAAGTAAATCTCTCTCTCTCTCTCTCTCTCTCTATATATATATATGTTGACATCTATATATACAATATACATACATACATATCTATCTATATACATACATTTCTTTCTCTCTATATACACATATACATACACACACATCCTGTTGGTTCTATTTCTCTGGAGGACCCTAAAACCCCTCTTTCAAAGACCACACCAGCCTGCAAGGATGAGCTGGAATCAGCCAGAAAGACTTTTCTGAAGCATGGACGAGTAGAGTCAGTCCACCGATGGATGCAGTGGGATCAGTAGTGGTGATCTGGATCAGCAAGACGCTATGGCAACCGCAGCAATACCCACCCCACCAGCAGCACCAACAGACAAGTGACCACCTCCAGGGCTCTTCTTCATTTGGGAAAGGGCATCTGGAGGACTTCTATTTTGAACTACAGTTAACTGCTAAGGTTCTTAGATAATCTACAGAGACAGGAAGCTCAAAGAGTATGATACTAGCCTTGCTGGTAATTAAGCATATGGAAGAATAAAAGAATGATGACCTAACTTACACTCGCAAGTATTATGGAAGAGTACATACCTGTTTTACATAAGAGAAAGATAATGTTTTTCTCCGCCACTTTATAGCCATATGACCTTGAGTATTATAAGTTTTCAGTCCTCTCCTCTGCAAAACCAGGTTATCCACAAGGTTAGGAGGAGCAAATAAAATGGTGAATGTGAAAGTGTTTGGCACGCTGTTCGGCATGTGGTAGATATTCAGTAAATGTTAGGAGCATCTGAATCTACTTTAAAAGAGAAGAGGTATTTCTCTCTACATAGTTTAACACGAGACGGCACTTTCCTCTGCCCAGGTTTCCTCTGATATTCCAACCAGAGGCCAAAAGGATGCTGGCCTTCACACTCCTCCTCTAAGCTCCTCACAGCGGGACGCTGAGGTTCTCTTCCAAGGCTCCATAACAACCACGGTCTGTTCAGTTCTTTCACAGGCTGAGTATCATCTAATCGAGGAATGCTTACAAGTGAAATCAAGCTGTGTATTGCACGGCAAAATTATATGATTAGAGAGTAAATCACCTTGCAGAACAAAATCCCTTGACTGTCCTGGTGTGTTTATTATAAAATTCAATTATTAAAAAAATAAAATTGGCACTGAATTATTCAAAAATCTCTCTTGAAATATATCAATAGTATTACTTTTTACTTAGGCATGATTACAATCCTAATCTTCATCAAAAGAGGTAATCATTTTAGTGATGGGTCTACTTTTTTTCCTCCATGTAAAATACTTTCAGGATGCTTTTAGGTGGAATGCGTTAGGTAAGTGTGAAATCATTAGCATTATTAAATGCAATATTTCTTCTGTAATGTTACTATAAAAACAGTGTCATCGTCACTAAAAGTAGAACATATTAACAGGTTAAGTAGAATATTCAGAATACAACAGGTTTGCAGACAACATTCCTGCACATTACTAATTAAATGAGAACTAATTGTTAATTAGAAATCAAAGAAATAAAAATGTGTTAATTTTAGTTTGACACTAAATACTATGGTATTTTAGCAGAGTACAGATAAAGGCCCTGCCTTATGCTTTATTAACACACATAGTTTAACTGACACACTGAAAAAATCACAATTTTTCTTTACTTCCCATCTCTTAGTAATTTTACATGAACATAAGGATTCCCCTCATACCCACCCCTTGACCTGCTCTCCTTCCTCTTTAAAAAGGCACTGGAGTTCAAGTGGAGATGAGCCTACACTCTGGAGCCAGAGTGTCCAGCTGTACATCCCTGCTGCCCACTTCGGACAAGTTACATAACCTCTTTGTGCTTCAGTTTCTTCATCTGTAAAATGGGCTTAAAAATAGTAGCTACGTCATAGAGTCGACGCACTTGGCACATAGTAGGTACCATGCAGATAGTTTTAAGCAAATCAATTTTCAGATCCTTGCCGTCCATCTACATGCTTTCCTAAAACGTGTTTGCCCAAGAAGCTGCCTGTCTCAACTACAGTGTGTCCTTGTAAAGTCTCCATTCTCTCATTTTACAAAAGCAGGGCATTTCTCCTATGCCCATTCCAGGGCCTCAAACCAAGGGACAACTCCACAATTCCTTTAATGAAAAAACTATAAGTGCCCCCCACCAAGCTGTATCATTAATATATACATTTCCAATAAATCTTACTTTTTATATTTAATAAGTATAAAAAATGGTAATATAGACATGCTGTTTTGAATAATTGTGTACTAAACATAATTATAATAATGAACACTCAATCCTGAGGAAAGTTTTCAACACTTACAACCTTATGGTCACAGGACATTTAAAAAATGTGTTGTTGTTATATGATAGAGTGGCCTATAAAAGGTTTTCAGCATTAAAAGATAAAATTCTATGGAAGAAATGGAGTGGAAATAC